TCTGCAAATAGAGACAATTTGACTTCCTCCTTTCCTATTTGAATACTCTTTATTTCTTTTTCTTGCCTGATTGCTCTGGCTAGAGCTTCTAGTACTATATTGAATAGGAGTGGTGAGAGAGAGCATCCTTGTCTAGTGCCACATTTCAAGGGGAATGCTTCCAGTTTTTGCCCATTCAGTATGATATTGGCTGTTGGTTTGTCGTAAATAGCTTTTATTATTTTGAGATACATTCTGTCAATACCTAGCTTATTGAGGGTTTTTAGCATAAAGCGCTGTTGAATTTTGTCAAAGGCCTTCTCTGCATCAATTGAGGTAATCACGTGGTTTTTTCTTTGGTTCTGTTTATGTGGTGAATTACGTTTATAGACTTGCATATGTTGAACCAGCCTTGCATCGCCAGGAAGAAGCCTACTTGGTCATGGTGGATAAACTTTTTGATGTGCTGTTGCAATCGGCTTGTCAGTGTTTTATTGAAGATTTTTGCATCTATGTTCATCATGGATATTGGCCTGAAGTTTTCTTTTCTTGTTGAGTCTCTGCCGGGTTTTGGAATCGGGATGATGTTGGTCTCATAAAATGATTTGGGAAGAATTCCCTCTTTTTCTATTGTTTGGAATAGTTTCAGAAGGAATGGTACCAGCTCCTCTTTGTATGTCTGGTAGAATTCGGCTGTGAACCCGTCTGGACCTGGGCTTTTTTTGGGTGGTAAGCTCTTAATTGCTGCCTCAACTTCAGACCTTGTTATGGGTCTGTTCAGGGTTTCGGCTTCTTCCTGGTTTAGGCTTGGGAGGAGGCAAGTGTCCAGGAATTTACCCATTTCTTCCAGGTTTACTAGTTTATGTGCATAGAGTTGTTTGTAATAATCTCTGATGATGGTTTGAATTTCTGTGGAATCTGTGGTGATATCCCCTTTATCATTTTTTATTGCATCAATTTGGTTATTCTCTCTTTTCTTTTTTATTAATCTGGCTAGTGGTCTGTCAATTTTGTTGATCTTTTCAAAAAACCAGCTCCTGGATTTATTGATTTTTTGAAGGGTTTTTTGTGTCTCTATCTCCTTCAGTTCTGCTCTGATCTTAGCTGTTTCTTGTCTTCTGCTAGACTTTGAGTTTTTTTGATCTTGCTCCTCTAGCTCTTTCAATTTTGACGATAGTGTGTCAATTTTTGATCTCTCCTTTCTTCTCATGTGGGCACTTATTGCTATATACTTTCCTCTAGAGACTGCTTTAAATGTGTCCCAGAGATTCTGGTATGTTGTGTCTTCATTCTCGTTGGTTTCAAAGAACATCTTTATTTCTGTCTTCATTTCATTGTTTATCCAGTCAACATTCAAGAGCAAGTTGTTCAGTTTCCATGAAGCTGTGTGGTTCTGGGTTAGTTTTTCAATTCTGAGTTCTAACTTGATTGCACTGTGGTCTGAGAGACTGTTATGATTTCCATTCTTTTGCATTTGCTGAGGAGTGATTTACTCCCAATTATGTGGTCAATTTAGAGTACGTGTGATGTGGTGCTGAGAAGAATGCATATTCTGTGGATTTGGGGTGGAGAGTTCTGTAAATGTCTATTAGGTTTGCTTGGTCCAGGTCTGAGTTCAAGTCCTGGATATCCTTGTTAATGTTCTGTCTGGTAGATCTGTCTAATATTGACAATGGGGTGTTAAAGTCTCCCACTATAATTGTGTGGGAGTCTAAGTCTCTTTGTAAGTCATTAAGAACTTGCCTTATGTATGTGGGTGCTCCTGTATTGGGTGCGTATATATTTAGGATCGTTGGCTCTTCTTGCTGCATTGATCCTTTTACCATTATGTAATATCCTTCTTTGTCTCTTTTGATCTTTGTTGCTTTAAAGTCTAATTTATCAGAGATGAGAATTGCAACTCCTGCTTTTTTTTGCTCTCCATTTGCTTGGTAAATCTTCCTCCATCCCTTTATTTTGAGCCTTTGTGTGTCCTTGCATGTGTGATGGGTTTCCTGGATACAGCACACGGACGGGTTTTGGCTTTTTATCCAATTTGCTAGTCTGTGTCTTTTGATTGGGGCATTTAGTCCATTTACATTTAGGATTAATATTGTTATGTGTGAATTTGATACTGCCATTTTGGTGCTAGTTGGCTGTTTTGCCCATTAGTTGATGCAGATTCCTCATTGTGTTGATTCTCTTTACCATTTGACATGTTTTTGGAGTGGCTGGTACTGGCTTTTCCTTTATATGTGTAGAGCCTCTTTCAGGAGCTCTTGTAAAGCTGGCCTGGTGGTCACGGAATCTCTGAGTACTTACATGTTCACAAGGGATTTTATTTTTCCATCACTTATGAAGCTTAGTTTGGCTGGATATGAAATTATGGGTTGAAAGTTCTTTTCTTTAAGGATGTTGAATATTGGCCCCCACTCTACTGGCTTGTAGGTTTTCTGCTGAGAGATCTGCTGAGTCTGATGGGCTTCCCTTTGTGGGTAACCCGACCTTTCTCTCTGGCTGCCCTTGGTATTTTCTCCTTCATTTCAACCTTGGTGAATCTGACGATTATGTGCCTTGGGGTTGCTCTTCTTGAGGAATATCTTTGTGGTGTTCTCTGTATTTCCTGGACTTGAATATTGGCCTGCCTTGCTAGGTTGGGGAAGTTTTCCTGGATAATATCCTGAAGAGTATTTTCCAGCTTGGATTCGTTCTCTTCGTCGCATTCATGTATGCCTATCAAATGCAGATTAGGCCTTTTCACATGGTCCCACATTTCTTGGAGACTTTGTGCATTTCTTTTTCCCCTTTTTTCTCTATTCTTGCCCTCCCATTTTATTTCATTGAGTTGATCTTCGACCTCTGATATCCTTTCTTCTGCTTGATCAATTCGGCTTTTGATACTTGTGCATGCTTCGCGAAGTTCTTGTGTTGTGTTTTTCAGCTCCATCAATTCACTTATATTCCTTTCTATTTTGTCCATTCTCGTTAGCATTTTGTCAAATCTTTTTTCAGGGTTCTTAGTTTTTTTGCATTGGTTTAGAACATGTTCTTTTAGTTCACAGAAGTTTTTTTACTACCCACCTTCTGCAGTGTGATTCTGTCATTTCATCATACTTGTTCTCCATCCAACCTTGTTCTCTTGCTGGTGAGGAGTTGTGATCCCTTTTAGGAGGAGAGGTGTTCTGGTTTTGGGTGTTTTCATCCTTTTTGCGCTGGTTTCTTCCCATCTTTATGGATTTATCCACCTGTTGTCTTTGTAGTTGCTGGCTTTCAGATTGGGTCTCTGAGTGGACGTTCTGTTTGTTGATGATGAGGTTATTTCTGTTTCTTGGTTTTCCTTCTGACAGTCTGGCCCCTCTGCTGTTGGTCTGCTGAGGTCCACTCCAGGCCCTGCTTGCCTGGGGATCACCTGCAGCAGCTGCTGAACAGTAAGGGTTGTTAGCAGTTTTCTTCTTCTGCTATCTTTGTCCCAGAAGGATACCAGCCAAGTGTCAATCTGATCTCTCCTTTATTAGGTGGCTCTTTGGATATACAGGGGTCAGGGAGCTGCTTGAGGAGACGGTCTGTTCTTTATAGGAGCTCAAATGCTGAGCTGTGAGCTCCGCTGTTCATTCATAGCTGCTGGGCAGGTACGTTTAGGTCTGCTGCAGCAGAACTCATAAACCGCTTTTTGTTCCCAGATGCTCTGTCCCAGGGATTTAGGGCATTATGAGTTTCCATTATGCTGCTGCTTTCTTTTATTTCCTTCAGAGCTGCCCTGCCCAGCAAGGAGGCAGCCTAGTCACTGTCTGCCTGTAGAGGCTTTGCTGAGCTGCTGTGGGCTCCGCCCAGCTGCTGAATGAACTTCCCTGCAGTCCTGTTTATATGAGTGTAGTTAGAACTGCCTCGGCAATGGTGGCCCACCTCTGTTAAGGTGGAGTCTCTCTGCAATGGCACGTTGCCTTGGCAACGGCGGGCTGCCTCAGCATTGGCTGACTATCTCCGTAGTGGTGGGCTGCCTTGGTAATGGCGGCAACCCCTCCCCCACAGAGCTGGACCATCCCAGGTTTAGCTGTACTTGCTGTGAAACTCTCAATCCAGAGAGTTTCTGATTGCTGTTCTTTTGTGGGGATGGGACCAGCTGAGCCTGATCGCCTGGCTCCCTGCCTTAGAGCCTTTTTTTTTTTTTTTTTTTTTTTTAAGTTGGTGTTCCAGTCACCTGTTGAAGAGGCTCCCGGGTCTGTGTGTTTTCCCCTGCGGCAAATCACTGTGGTGGCTTAAACAGTGGCACTGACATTCGTGGCACTTTTTTTTTGCCCTGGAATCTACTGTCCTGGTTCCCTGCTCAGTCCCCTTTTTAATCAGACGAATGGGCAACTTCCCGTGGCTCCAATTGCCAGCCAAAAGGGCATCTGGACCGATGTATTTTGTATGGAGAACCGCTGCTCCGGGGCGCCGATAAAGCAGCGGCCGGCCGACACTGCCGCGACACAGCCGCGCTGGCTGAAACAGCTGCGCTGGTAACCCATGGAGCTCCTCCACCTGGGAATTTCCTAGTCTGTGGGCAATAAAAATGCGGTGTCCACTCACCCTGTGCACTTTCACTGGGAGCTGCAATCCTGAGCTGTTCTTAAACAGCCACCCTGGATTGATCCCCCCTATTGAAGTAATTTCATAAACCTATTCTCTCTTGGTGTAATCACATGGAATGGGCTCAACTCCCCAATTAAGAAGTGATAGCACATGTAAAATATTGCCTATCGAGGAAACTCATTAAACACTTAGTGTTCAGACTGTGTTTTGATGTCTGGTTCCCAAGATTGTGCCATTGCACTTCAGCCTGGGCAACGAAAGCAAAACTCCGGAACTCCATCTCAAAAAAGAAGAAAAGGCTTGAAGCTGGGTTGAGGTGGATTTAATGATGGGGAGGAGCCCAGAGGGATAATGGACAGAGAGAATCATGTGACCTCCCCCGCCCCCAAGCTGAGGGGCAGTGGGAGTCACGGCAGTCATGGTGGTCAGGTCAGTAACTTGCGGAGGCAGGGAAAAAAAAAAAACTCAACACCACTGCAGGGATACAAAATAATAGACCTTTAGCAGAAAAAGGTTTGGCAAATACATTGCACAAACCATTTAGATGCAGTGAATCATTCTTATTAAGTTGGTAGAATCCTTTTGAAAATGTAGGTTCCTAATACAAAGATTGAACTTCGTGAGCAGGCATTTTTAAGAATAAGCAGTCTCAGGACTGATAATATTAACTCAGTTATGCACATCAGGTAAGACTTCATTATGACAGATACTTGACATGTACAAAATGAAATTAAAGGGTAACTTAGCAGTACATCTTACTCCCTGGATTCTCTAATGAAATGGGTGTTTCTACTTTGCTGTTGCCTTTATGAATAGTTCAGTTCTAGCATTAGTACTGCTCTGTAGGAGGGAGTATGTGTGAGCAGAGTAAGAGTTGTGACAATCAAGTCATAGAATAAATGCTTAGAAATTATAGAATCATGTAAACAGCTTATGAATTGAGTATAGATTCCTAGTGCTGTCAGTCTCACCCATCCTTCTATCCACATGTGTTGGATGTTCTAGGACTCAGCGGCTTTTGAGGATGTGGCTGTGAACTTTACCCAGGAGGAATGGGCTTTGCTAGATTCTTCTCAGAAGAACCTCTACAGAGAAGTGATGCAGGAAACCTGCAGGAACCTCGCTGATGTTGGTAAGAATGAAAATACTTTTCACTGACTTACAGAAGCATTTCTTGGTCATCAGTGCTATTTATGATTTGGAATGTGGCAAGGGAATGATTTGGTCAATAAATCAGGCATGGGCACTATGTACAGTGAACATTAACTCTAGTAATGTTTCTGTAGTTTCTAATAATTCATAATTTTATGGATGTACATTTTAGGAAACAAATGGAAAGACCAGAATATTGAAGATTACTTCAAAAAACCTGGGAAAGATATAAGGTAACTTGCACTGAGAAGAGGAAATAAAGTCCTCTGAAGGAATCTTAGCATGTCATGAACTTGAAAACAAGCAATCAAAACAAATAAGAGCCACTTGAAATTTATTTACTTTGAGAAAAATTTCACCCAAAATGTGACTTACTTCAATGTAGCAGTGTTTGAAAAACAGTTTACTTGGAAACAGTACTGTAAAACTGTGTATCTGAATATTACTGTTTTGGTCATAGCCATGCGGGTGGTAGCTGCATTTTTAGTAGTCAACCCATTTACTTTCAAATAATTCAGTCATGGCAAAAAAAATGCATTTTCCCTGATATTGGTAGCAATGTAAGTCTAAGACCTATTAATAAGTATAAAGTTATTAATAAACCAACAATAATAATGTGCTTGTCATTTTTTTTTTTTTTTATTAAGGATTTTTTTTTTTTTTTTTTTTTTGAGACGGAGTTTCGCTCTTGTTACCCAGGCTGGAGTGCAATGGCGCGATCTCGGCTCACCGCAACCTCCGCCTCCTGAGTTCAGGCAATTCTCCTGCCTCAGCCTCCTGAGTAGCTGGGATTACAGGCACGCACCACCATGCCCAGCTGATTTTTTGTATTTTTAGTAGAGACAGGGTTTCACCATGTTGACCAGGATGGTCTCGATCTCTTGACCTCGTGATCCACCTGCCTCGGCCTCCCAAAGTGCTGGGATTACAGGCTTGAGCCACCGCGCCCGGCCGTCATTTTTTTTTTTACAGAAATCATATGGTACAGAGACTGTGTGAAAGCAAAGAGGGTAATCAATATGGAGAAGTTGTCAGCCAAATTCCAAATCTTCATCTGAACAAGAACATTTCTACTGGATTAAAACCATGTGAATGCAGTATTTGTGGAAAAGTCTTTATACGTCATTCCCTCCTTAATAGGCATATTCTAGCTCACTCAGGATACAAACCATATGGAGAGAAGCAATATGAATGTGAGCAGTGTGGGAAATTCTTCGTTTCTGTTCCGGGTGTTAGAAGACACATGCTAATGCACAGTGGAAATCCAGCTTATAAATGTACGATATGTGGAAAAGCTTGTTATTTTCTCAGTGCATTTGAAAGACATCAGAGAACTCACACTGGGGAAAAACCCTATAAATGTAAACAGTGTGGTAAAGCGTTCACTGCTTCCGGTTCCTGCCTAATATATGAACAAACTCACGCTGGAGAGAAACCCTACAAATATAAGGAATGTGGGAAGACATTCAGATTTTCTTGTTCTTTTAAAACTCATGAAAGAACTCACACTGGAAAAAGACCTTATAAATGTACCAAATGTGATAAAGCCTTCAGTTGTTCCACTTCCCTTCGTTACCATGGGAGCATTCATACTGGAGAGAGACCCTATGAATGTAAAAAATGTGGTAAAGCCTTTAGTCGTTTCAGTTCCCTTTGTAGCCACAGAAGTACTCATACTGGAGAGAAACCCTATGAATGTAAGAAATGTGGTAAAGCCTTCAGCCGTCTCAATTCCCTTCACCTCCATTTAAGAATTCATATTGGGGAAAAGCCCTATGAATGTAAGAAATGTGGTAAAGCCTACACTCGTTCCAATCACCTTACTCGCCATGAAAGAAGTCATGATGTAGAGGCTGGGTGCAGCAGCTCATGCCTGTAATCCTGGCACTTTGGGAGGGCCAATGTGTGTGGATTGCTTGAGCCCAGGAGTTCATAACCAGCCTGGATTTAAACAATGTGAAACAGGCTGGGCAACATGGTGAAAACCTGTCTCTACAAAAAATAATTAGCTTGGCATGGTGGCACAAACCTCTCGTCCCACCTACCTGAGAGACTGAGATGGGAGAATCACTTGAGCCTGGGAGGTTCAGGCTGCAGTTAGCTGAGATCCTGCCACTGCACTCCAGCCTCCTGGGTGGCAGAGTGAAACCCTGTCTCCAAAAAAAAGAAAAAGAAAAAAAAATTAGGTGTGATTGCTCATACCTGTAATCCTAGCACTTTAGGAGGCTGAGGGGGCAGATCACATGAGGTCAGGAGTTCAGGACCAGCCTGTCCAACTTGACAAAACCCATCTCTACTAAAAGTAAAATTATTAGACAGGTCTGTTGGCACATGCCTGTAGTCCCAGCTACTTGAGAGGCTGAGATGGGAGGATTACTTGAGCCTGGTAAGTCGAGGCTGCAGTGAGCTGAGATCCTGCCACTGTACTCCAGCCTCTTGGGTGGCAGAGTGAGACCCTGTCTCAAAAAAAAAAAAAAAAGAAAAAGTTATACTGGAGAGAATCCTTATGAATGTAAGAAATGTGTAAAAGCATTCAGTTATCTTAGTTCTTTTTCAAGGACATAAGCCACTGGAGGTGGGGGGAGGGGAAAGCCCTATTCATGTAAGAAATGTGGTAAAGCATTTACTCTTTCCTTTTCACTCATAAACATGAAAGAGCTCACACTGGAGAGAAACCTTAAGAATGTAAGATGATATGGTAAAGCCTTCAGATTTTTCTTTTTTTTTTTTTTTTTGAAGACTTGGGAGGACTCACAGTGGAGAAAAGCCTTTTGAATATAAACTTGTGGTAAGGCATTCAGTTGTTCTATTCCATTTGAAGACATAACTCATTCCTGAGAAAAACCCTGTGATTGTCCAGAGTGTGGAAATGCTTTCATGTCTCTCATAACCCTTCAAGGACATGTAAAAATGCACAATGAAGCTGGACCTTGTAAATGCAAGAATGTACACAGGATTAAAACTCTAATATTTGGAAACTACAAGAATGTTTTCAGTTTTAACATTTACTTGAAAAGTCATGTGAAAACTCTCACTGGAAAGAAGTTCTATAAATGAAGTTTTTCTAATGTGGAAAGCCTGATGCAGATTAATTGTCGTGTGGTGCTTGAAAAAAATGCACATATATGAAATGTAATGCAAGTTACAAGTATTTTTTTTTAATGCTCATTTTTAAAGAATCTTGAGTATGTGTTTCAACTTATTTTTCAGGGAAACATTGAGGTAAGAGTTCTGTAAATGTTCTTTAAGCAATAGTGTTTTAATAGGTAATGACACTTTCTTAAGTTTGTTGGTAGAATTTTTGTCTATTTATTTGGTAATGTGCTGGATTCATGGTTGAATTTTGATGTTTTTCTCCTAATGTAAGTTAGTTTAATTTTTATATATTGTCCTGTGATTAATGGACCAGTGAATAATGAATGTTAATTGTTGGTATTTTCTTACTAGCCTAATTTGGCAAATTTTGGTTATCCCTTGTCCGTTATATACATTCCACCTTTTTTTATTAAAGGAAAAACTACTCTTGGTGTAAAGATGTTTATTTTTTGCTAATAATGAGTTGGTATTAATTCCTAAGTAGATCAGGTTTGTCATAGAGTATCATTTCATGTGAGTTCTTTGCATTTGTTTCCCTTTACTCTTTATTATTTCTGTCTTTTATTTGGATAGTTCACTTTGAATGAAGGAGAGAGAACTGTGATAGGACAATGTTGTAACTAATCAGAGGGAGAACGCATTCAGTCTCACAGTCACATTTAATGATAGCGTTGGGTTTTTCATAAATGCCGTTGGTATTACAGTATACAGTATTACACCATTATGGTATTATAGTTTATAATATATTACAATATTATAGTCTTACCAGTCAGTATCACATGATTCAGTTCCCTGTAAGCCAACAGACAAACCAATCACATACTCCTGTGGGAACAAAGGAACATCGTCACTTTTTAAATACTATACCATTCTCTGCTCCCAACTTTAATCCCTGTTTGGGCCTGTGGGAGCTTACACTGTCCTCCTATATGTAACTAATAACTGATGTCTCTCTCACCTGTTTAGTAATAGATGTCACGTGTTTAATGGTGCCAGTAGACCTAGGGTGCTAATTCCTTTCTCAACAACGGGGTACGTGAGACACTGTAGAAACAATTGGCAACACAAATGGAATGGGCCAACTGTCATGCAGGACACCTGCTCAGCTTTATCTAACTGCTGTTGGCTAACTGGTTCCATAATACATCAGAAGTCACCTGGGTCAGAGCCATGAGCTGATGATGGGCCTTCACTTTGGTCTGCACAGTGTCTTGTGGTCTTTATCAGGTGTTTTCATGTCTTCCCCACTAACATGCTCTCACCTCCTAGACATGAATGTTTAATTGCACCGCAGCATGACATTTGTCAGGTTTTTCCTGTGCTTAGCAGGCAGTTTTGCTGCCCTGGCTTATTAATGCACAAAAGCACAGCACATAAACAAGCCAACACTTAAGTCCTAATTAGCAAGAATCAGGCTATATCTCTGTAGTCACTACATCTACTCTGGTCACCATCACTGTATGCTTAGGGCAGCCATGTGAACATTATTAGTTGGGCACCCCCAAGACAATAGATACTGTTACGCAGGCAGAAGTAGTGGCCTTGTTTGTTCCTTGCACTGCTGCTCCCCTTGCTGCTGTCCTGTACACTCTCCTGATGAGGTGTACGTCTATGGTGCCTCATGGTTCAGGCACTGATGAGTAAAGAAAATGGGAAGATATTTGATAGTAGCCCCTGCCAAAGCATATGAAGGAGCATCTTAGCTGTTTTCATTGCAAAATTCCTAGCCAGTGTGTGGGCTTTTCTTATCACTGCTGCTTATCAGCATGTCAAAAGTCTAATCTTTGGACTGCAAGTCTTGATGGTCTTAGACATATGGCCTTACTGCATGTGGTTGCTAACCCCAAGAAGATTGAGTGGCACTCTCTGGAGGATTAGGTGATCTCCAGTATGTGTTCATGGGCCCCTGAACGCTTTCCTTCAACCATGCAGATCGTCTACATTGCCAGTGATCATGTGCTGCAACTTTATATATGTAGAAACTGAAAATACTCTGAAGCAGTTTCCATTGAAAGGAAAGAAAAGCAGTCAGGTGCCACACTCCAGTCAAGTTGGTACTAGAAAACTAGTAGACGGCTCACACATTCTGTTGCTACTGTCTGTGCCTCTGTCACAACAAATACCCTGATCCTGCAGTTTTAAGGATACAGGGCAGCTTTCTAGGTAGTCTCAGATCGACCCAGTTTTCCTCCCTTTCTTACTGGTAGTTCTCAAGATAACTGTACAATATGCTGGGAATGCAGTGTAACCTGATAACAGGTTACAGAACGGCCCAGGCTTTGTTACAGTCCTTGCTTGAAACAGAATGACCTTTTACACTTTTGTCCAGCAAATCACATCCTGGGATATAAAACTCAAGGTGGGCTGCTTTCTGGGGTCCCTCAGTTGTAGTCCAGGTGAAGCACTTACAGTCAAGACTCCATCCATCTGCTCTGGATAGTATTCCTGATCTTGCAGTAGCAGTTCATACGGAATCCTAGACTTCTGTTTTCTTTTTTTTTTTTTTTTTTTTTTTTTTTTTTCTTGGAGACGGAGTTTCGCTCTTGTTACCCAGGCTGGAGTGCAATGGCGCGATCTCGGCTCACCGCAACCTCCGCCTCCTGGGTTCAGGCAATTCTCCTGCCTCAGCCTCCTGAGTAGCTGGGACTACAGGCATGCGCCACCATGCCCAGCTAATTTTTTGTGGTTTTAATAGAGACGGGGTTTCACCATATTGACCAGGATGGTCTCGATCTCTTGACCTCATGATCCACCCGCCTCGGCCTCCCAAAGTGCTGGGATTACAGGCTTGAGCCACCGCGCCCGGCCTGTCTTCTGTTTTCTTTGGTTTCCTATTTGTAAGTAATAAATTCACTTCGTGGGATTTATGTATGAATGAGTTTGTTCTCATTGTACTCAGAAAAGTTCATAGCCATTGCACAGTGAGCCTGCTTCATAATTGGTGAAAATACCTATGGCCCACTCGTGCCACAGCAAAGAGGTTAACTCAGCCAGACATTAACTTAACATTCTAAAAACCCTGTAAGCTGTATTCCTAGGTATTTTATTCTTTTTGCATTAATTGTGAAAGAGAGTTCATTCATGATTTGGCTTCCTGCTTGCCTGTTGTTGGTGTATGTAAATGTAAGCAATTTTTGGCCAGGTACCATGTCTCACACCCGTAATTCCAGCACTTTGGGAGGCTGAGGCAGGAGAATCGCTTGAACCAGGGAGTTGGAGGTTACAGTGAACCAAGGATGCACTACTGCACTCCAGCCTGGCAACAGAATGAGACTTGGTCTCAAAGCAAAAAAGAAACGTTAGTGACAGTTACTGTTGATTTTGTATCCTGAGACTTTTCTGAAGTTGCTTATCAGCTTAAGCTTTTGGGCTGAGATGATGGGGTTTTCCAGATATAGAATCATGCCATCTGCAAACAAAGATAATTTGACTTCCTATCTTCCAATTTGAATACCCTTTGTTTCTCTTGCCTGATTGCCCTGGTCAGAACTTCCAATACTATGATGAATAAACACGGTGAGAGGGCATCCTTGTCTTGTTCTGGTATTTGAGGGGAATGCTTCCAGCTTTTGCCCATTCAGTATGATGTTGGCTGTGGGTTCAGCATATATGGTTCTTATCCTTTTGAGGTATGTTCCTTTGATACCTAGTTTATTGAGAGTTGTTAACATGAAGCGATGTTGGATTTTATCGAAGGCCTTTTCTGCATCTATTGGGATAATTGTGTGATTTCTGACTTTAGTTATGATTATGTGGTGAATCACATTTATTGATTTGTGTTTGTTCAACCAACCTTACATTCCAGGGATAAGCTTGATCATGGTGGATAAGCTTA